ACAGAAAGAGTGGAAACTGTCCGACAATGTGCAAATCATTCTTTTCTTTCTTGTAACTCACTACTTAGTTGACTTTCAGTACTTTCCTGACAGAGTTATCCAGAAGTTTTCTTTCCTTATGTTCATACTTTTGTGTGTGTGTGTTTATACAATCAATTTAATGAAATTTTAAAAAGCAAAATATAACTTAAATTAAACCTTTAGAAGACATAATCAAAATAAAAGTAAAGACTATAGTAAAAGGTGGGAGCCTTATTATTATTAATATTGTGGTTGGTTTTGTGGTTATTATTTTTATAGCTATCAATTTCTTACTTTAGTATCCTAAGACTCTGCTTATGAGGTATTTTTATTAGAAAAGAAAGTGTAATATGTAAATTTACTGACCTTGTTAAAATTATGCTGTGGAGCAAGTGTATCAGTGGAGAACTATGAAATCAGAGAGGACTCAGCTTGTGATTTACTTCAGTTTTAAAGTTAAAAACCTGAAAGTTTTAAGGAACTTAGAGCAACAGGATGAAACATACCTTTATGACATAACAATATCTTAAGTATCAATGAGAACGTTAATTTCAAGCTATATGCTGAATAGTTATTCATATCAATGACAGTTGGCATTTAATGGCAATGGTGTCTGGCTGCCATTGCTCACCAGGATTAAGGCACTCATTAGCATAAATACAGATAGACTTCTAAAAAAAGTTAAAAACTTCAGCACCAGCAAAGTTTCTTATATGGTCCTTGACTGAGGGTGACAGGTGGCATAGCTACTTAAATGATTTAATGGTCATGATAAAATGACTGATGTAACATATGCTATTTTTGTGCTATTGCAACATCTGTATCTCAAATGCCTTTGCTAATAATTCAAGGACAGAATTTTGCAGACCACGAAACCAGTATTTCATTGAATCTATTGGAAACTTTCCTATTTAGTGACAAAGACTTCTGAGTTAGTTAATTTTGGGAAGATTGTGCTGCATAGTCCATTGTTCAGATGTTTTGTCTTTGCCACAGGACAGATGTTACACTAATAAAGGAACTTCTAAGCTAATACTGGCTAGCAAATTCTTTAGCAGAACAGGTGCTTATTCTGGTATTGACTTCAATTTTCTTTGGATGAAAGCATATTATCACTGACATTTTGTCTTTGTGCTTGGGGAGGCTTTTACAATGCAGTAGAGAAGAGGTCTAGCAGAATAGTATATTTTAAGTAGGACTACTAATAAGGCACATATATTACAACATATACAAATAACAATAGAGCACAGTACTTTCAAAGTATACTTGAAAATATTTATAAACCAGGATATGTGCTTTTGTATAGAAAAGCAGACTATTTTAAAAGGAACTACATAAAGGACAATACCAAGTTCTGGTTTTGAAGTGTGATTTCAGGATGAGAAATCTGAAGTGGTTTATTGTTTTTGGTTTTTGCTTTTTTTTTTCCCCCCAGTGAAATACGAAGAGCTGTATTGTTTCTCATTCAATCCAAAATTAAATAAAGAAGAACGAGAGCAAGGCTGGAAACTGGTGAACCTCCACGAAGAATATAATCGAATGGGTATTCCGAACAACTATTGGCAGATTAGTGATGTAAACAGAGACTATGGAGTGAGTTGTTGTGATTTTTCTGTTACAGAGGCTGTCTGTAAAGTAAATCAGCAGTCTGACTGTGAACTACTGTAGTCCTTAGATGCAGGATCCCTTTGTGCTCAGTGCTGTACACACATGGAATAAGGTGCAGATCTTCCACTCTTTCACATAAAAAGGCACAAAGAAAATGGGAGAAAGAATGTGTCTTCATTTAACACATGTAGAAGTGAAGCACAGAAAACATGTCCACAGTGTTTTAAACATTAGTACTTGGCTGCCTGGGGAGAAGTTTAAATCATACCTAATGTTGTGTGTCTGAATGAGCGCTTTCCTGATGTGCAGGTTTATATAAAATTACTACATAGTCATTTTAAGAAAAAAAATTACTCGAAATAGTGAATTTGGCAGTATTTTTTTCCTCACTGGCTATCCTCACAATATTTTTGAAGCCTGTGTGATTGACTGTTACTATTTTTCACAGTTGTCTGACAGGTCATATATCTTCCTAGCTGCCAGCTGTCCTGCCTAGTTCAGTCTTGTACGATTGAAGTCCCTAGAATGTTGATTAATTGTGAGAAATAAAAGCCAAAGTATTTTTGAAGGAAGTTTGTCCATGCACTCTATTGGCTCTGTTGCTGGAGCATATCCATGTTAAGAAAGGCCTGCACAGTTCTCAGAGAAGACTGAATGTGTTGTTAGGTTTTGTTTTCTTTTTGTTAAAACAAGTGAAAAAACTGTTTGACATCTTTTAAGATAAAGTTTAAGAAAAATGGCATCAAGAATAAAACCCAGTCCACCACAGCAGCATCCATAACCACAAGCCCTTCCTTTTCTTTCTCCTTCATTACATGTCTCTGACTCTTTCAGAACCTAATTTCTTCCTGGTCATCCTAATTCCTTTAGTCCCAGGGAGATACTGGATATCCTTTTGACCCCAGCCAGAATGCCACAGGCAGTATCAGGAAAAGGAAATTAGACCAGGACCCCATTTGAGTTCCCACTTGTCTCCAGAGGAACTTCTGGGCTTTTTTGCAGCCTCATTGGGTTCCTCTCAGAAGCAGTAGGCATTGTCAGGGCTGCTTGCCTTTTGGTATCCTCATTTCATACGGATTAATTTCTTTTCTCCAAGTCCCTATTTTTGTCATTTTTTAAATTATCAGATTTGCTGAAAAATTTAGCTCTATAGTCCCCTCCCATTATAACAGAGGGGTGTTTGAGACCTTCACCCACTTCCTTACTTCCAAATTCTCTTACAGAGGAAACTGCAGTTGTAAGTGCAACCTTGCTGTACATCATGCTGTATCTTTTTTGGTATGAATGTATGTTATACCTGTCTGTTCTCAATGAGGCATGAATTAACATTTAAAAATACAGCCCTTCAACCCTTCTGCTTCAGTTTTGCTATCTGTAAATTAGAATTAATACTTTCCAGCTTCAAAAAAATGTTTTGAGAAATGTCAGTGATATGTATAAAATAATGATGGAATATTCCCTGAGATTAGAGTTCCTTGGTATTTTGTTTTTGCTGTGGAGATGGCTAATGCTACTTGTATTTTGTAGAACAAATAAGCAGAATTTCCTCTCACAGGTCTGTGACTCCTATCCTACGGAAGTGTATGTACCAAAGACTGCAACTGCACATATCATAGTGGGGAGCTCTAAATTTCGAAGCCGAAGGCGTTTCCCAGCTCTTTCCTACTACTACAAGGATAACAATGTAAGTGTGAATTTGTAGCTTTGAAGTGTTTGCTTATTTTGGCCTTGCTTTCATGATTCTTCTAGTAAGCTTTCACAAGAAGAAAACAGTCATTATTTTATAAAAAAAAAAAATCAAAGATGGTTAGCTTAGTCTGGTTACTGTGGTTTGTGCATATGGGCACACACTGGAATTATGGTTAGTTCATTAATAGACATTTAATACAGTCGTTTAAACTCAGCTTTATCATCCGGCTAACAGAGAAAAATGTAATCCCTGTATCACAAGGAAGTGGAATAGTACAAGAGGTCCTAAAACATGAGTGGCAGAAGAGTGAAGGCCAGTAGCAAGCAGCTTAGCAGATGATTGGGAGGAGAACAGAGCAATTTAGGGTCTGGTGGCCACAGCCTGAGAGAAGTTGAGGAGGAGAAAAACTGTACTTGCAACAATTAAAGAATCAGGAGTAGCCTTTCAAGAAATGATCTGTGAATAGACCCAAAAAGGATGGATGAAAGAGCTGCCAAATTTTGGCTGAGCAGTGTGTCCTGACTTTGCTGAAGAGACTCTCCTTGTCTGGAAGAGTGAGGAGTGCCACCTTCTCCTCTCCATGACAGATATTCTCAGGGCTGAGTGAGGAACTGCTTTACATGTCCGTAACCATTTGGAAAAAACCTCTGTACCTAGACTGTTTGAATTTTGGTTTCTTGTAGCTGAAGTAAAAGAGAGCTTTGGACTGAAGGATCCCATGGACTGAGTGTTTTTACTTTTGTGTCCCAGCCCCCTAGAGATTGGCTTAGCTCAGATGTCATTACCAGTTAGGAGGATGTGTGTCCCCTTTGTACTCACAAAGGTCTGCATGTCTAATATCTCCTCCTGTTTCAGTCCCAGGCTGGCAACTGCATCGAGAGGTCTTCCCTAGTGCTGGGGGATGGCCAGGACTTCCCAAGAGACAGAGCCAGTGTGGGATTACAGGGTGTCTGTAGAGTTTGTCATGCAGGATGGGAGGTATTTCCATAGGATGTCACAAGCAGGAATCATAAACTGCAGTCTCCATGGAAATCTTATCTTTACAGTGGCCCCTGTCATAGGTTTAAGCTTCAGAAGGAAGAAATGAGATGTTGTTTTGACTCTTTCTTTACCCTTTATTTCATCAGAATTCTGTTTCTGTAAAGATCTATGACAATAATGCAAGAGGAAAGGAAGATTTAAATAGTAAATATAGTCTCTGCATAAATTGCATATTATCTTTAATATTTCATTAGGGCCAAACTTTTAAAAGTTAATCACTTTGCATAATCAACTAAGTCCAAATATAGGTATCTAGGATTCAAAACACTTGGACATTTCCAAATCTCAATGAAAGAAAAGGTCCCAGGGATCAGCTAGATTCCAATATTAGCTAGATTCCAACTCATCTAGTTTGAATGAGTTTCATGGTTTCAGCCTGAATGTTTTTCCTGTTGTGGCTGGAGTTCAGGTTAAGGTTCAGACCACCAGGATCTGAAGTACTGTGTTTAGTCGTGGATCTTTCATGGTTCAAAGGGTGAGGAAGAAGGTTGGGAATGTTGGAGGAAATACCTCCTTGTGAGTTTGGAGGTTGGCATGAGTTGCCAGCTAATAGAGTAATGGGCGGGAGTGGGGTAAGATTTGTGACAATAGACATTGAACAGCTATGGCAACAGCAGGCTGGGAAGAGGTCTGATGTGTGCAGGGGAGATGAGTGCTGCTTGTTCAGTCTTTCATACCCACAACTTTCCCATAGCGCTCTGGTGCCAACAAATTCAATGATGATGTGACACCTTACTCTGCATCTTACAGGATGTGTGTGAATATGGTAAGATCAAACTTCGGAACAATCTGTTCAGCTGGTGCAACAGCAAAATATGACCTCATCTCTTGCCCTACTCTTAAACATAGCCCAAGACGTATGTGCTCATGCTAAGCAATTGGCCTGGGTCAGCAGGAGGTGATCTCTTCATGGATATCGTGGGTAATGATTCCCACTTGCAATATCTAATGGTCACTAGGTCAGCCTGTCTTCCTAGTTTTGCAGTACTGGCATGCAGCTATTTCTTAAGCTGGGACTAAATATGATCTTAACCCCAAGCCTAAATCGACAGACAAGCCATTCTCTCATACTGGTGCCAGCACATACCTTAGCTCCTTGGGCCCCCAGGATGATATAATGTAATGGGCTCCAGCCCATACTTTCCCAAATCCTAACCTTCATCCACAACCCTAACTTCAACCTTAATCTTGAGTTCTATATCTGCCTTGTGTATGGTACACTACAGATGAGAGAGAAATGTCTTCCTTCTATTAAAATGACAGGTTGTGCACATGTTCGTATGTACCATTTGCTTCATGCAAAGGAGGTATAAGCATATATTACATCACTGGAATGTGCGCTGACCAGCAGGCAAGACTCTAGATAACTAATAATCTGTTTGCAAAAACTATTAATAAAGTACGAAGAAGCTTTCACATAATTCAAGGTTTGTGTATTAAAGATCCATGTTTTACTAACTACTGATAGTTCAAAGACTTGGCTGAAAATGAGCATGTCGTGTCTCTCAGTAATAAATAATTTGTAGGGCAGTCTGCATGGCTCACGACCTTCAGCAGGCAGATTCTCTTCATGCTTATGTTCAGTGCTTTGAAAGTGCATGTGTTAGCTCCTTGCCCTCTGCAAACCTAGCTGCCCTCTGCCTAGCAGAAATAAAAACCTCCCTGCTCAGCCATTTCACATTCTGTTCCTTCCTTCCTAGTTTCATTGGGAGGTCTGATCCCAATGGATCTGTGGAGAAGTTCTCTTGCTTTCATCAATAGCACTGATTAATAACTGTGCTCCAGAAGTCAGGCTGCCTGACCCACCTGCCAAGCAGTAAGGTCTTTCTCCAGAGGCAGTCCTAAAATACAGCACCACCAGTGATCTAGCTGCATGTTAGGCATTTTTGTTTCCTGGACTCATGGTGTCTCTGGCTGCTTACTAAAGTATGCATTGGTGCAAGTTAGGTGTCATAACAGGCAAGCATGAGTGACAGGGCAAAAGGACCCATTCTGTATCTTATGTCAGTGTTCTCATGATTGCAATGTTGTACTCGTCACATCCTCTAGAAACACCTTTCAGGAATTCTTCCACATTAGGGAAATACGATGTTTAAAATAGCTCTAAAACTTGGATTCAAGACCAGACTTGGGCCAATGAGGTTGTATTGTTTTAATACTTCTTTGCCTTTTTAAAAATAATGTATTTATTTTTAAATATTATTTTTTATAACATGTAATTCATTTTACCATTCTACCCTTCCCACGTAACTGTACACCTATGCAAACATCTAATGAGCTAGTTTTGTAAATGCTTCTGGATGCTAAATAATTCTGCTTAATAACTATGTTGGGGGTTTTTTTGTTGTTGTTTTTTTTCTGCAGGCCTCCATATGTAGAAGCAGCCAGCCTTTATCTGGCTTTAGTGCGCGATGCCTTGAGGACGAACAGATGCTCCAGGCCATTAGAAAAGCAAATCCAGGAAGTGATTTCATATACGTTGTTGACACTCGACCAAAAGTAAGTACATTAAATTTCTTGTAGATAGCAAGACTGAATCTGGGCTGAATACATTGGGGAAGATGTACAGCCCAAGTGACTGACTGTACTTCTGATCATAGTAGCACCTGTGTAACTCCACAGGTAAATCAGGATTTATCAAGGGAATCTTAACCAGGAACCTTGCCCACATAAAGAATTTTTTTTCTTTACACCAAGCTTTTATCTTTTTTGTCTTAACAAAATTTTATGATACAGAAAAATAAATAACTTGGAATAGAAACTGTTTCCACACACATAGGAGCTATCAGTAACTACATTACTGATGAGGTTAGTGAAAAATAATTCCATTATAAAACTATATTTACTGTTGCTTGTAATTTTGCAAACCTCTGCCTGCTTATACTAAAATTTTCTCCCCTGCAAGTGGGACAATTTCAACAACCTATGCATGACGCTAAGGAAAGTACATTTACTCAGGCTACAAGAATTGAGGAGACCTTCTTTGAATATCTCCAGCATTTCTGTGTTTTTGAGAGAGAATCTGAAATATGGTAAATAGTGATCTCAGATGCCATATCTTTATAATTGACTAGAATCTTTGGTCAAGATAAAAGCTGTAGGAAAATTACACTTTGCAGAAACACAGAAACTCACTAATGATCTAGAAGAGGTTGGAAGCTAATAAAACTTGGGTCCAAATTTGGCATGCTAGCAAACAGCTCAAGGTGATGAGGACGTAGGCTTCAGTGCCTGGAAGTGGGAGTAGGGAAGTATTCTTTGTTACACTATCAGTAGCTTCCCTGCTGAATTTACCAAAGTAACTGAAGAAACAAAACCAAAGGGGTAAATCTCCACAAAGTCCCTAGTAGATATAGGATGAGTTTTGTTTCCACTTCATTTAAACATACCAGGATGACCATATGCAGAGCTTTACTTAGGCTACTGTCTCTTAATTTTCTCCTTCCTCTATGTGTTTACAGAAGAAACTAATATCAATTTACTGCTTTGCAACAACTACTCTAAGAGCAACAGATGGAATTTTGGTAGGTGATGTGGAAAACTTGTTAGTAAATATTGTGGCAGCTGCAAGGTTTGGCAACTGACACTATTTAAAATGTCAGAAAGCCTTGCAAATTTAACCTTATATTTATTTACTTTTAGAGAGGGCTATGTCAGATTGTCTTCTAAGAAAGCATTTCTGTGATAAAACTGCTCTGCTGCAGAGACAGTTAATAGCATTTACTGTCCTGAGGATTAGGTCAGTTAGGGGCTAGATGTTTTTCGTTTAGAGTTTCAGGGGTTTATGATGGCTTAGACTCATGTACAGATCTTTTTTCCTGAATGAAGCTCTATGCTATCACAGAGAGACTGCTTCATTTTGTTTATATTAGGACACTGATGTCTACTTCAAAAGAGAAAGATTAGGATTCAGCAGACAATTTATGTATTTCTAGCAAGTCACACTGAGGACTCTGTCCTTAAAGGACATGCTGTTCACAGGCTGTATCTTTTTTTAAATTGTTCATTGATAGTCAAAACATCACCAGACTGCTGGTTGATATATAAGAATTTTTATTTTTATTTTTTTTGACCTGTGCTTTTTCCTGAATTTCATACTATAAGTTAAAAGAAGTTTTACACAAGACTTGACTAAATGAAAAGTGCTGGGGTTTTGCCCAGGTTCCTGTCGTAGAGTATGGATCCTTCTGTTGGATCACGAAATTCATGCAATGTTTCAGTTCCTAATGGTGGTCCACAAGTGTAACTATGTATTCCTATTGCCAAGTTCTGTTCATAGGAATGGATGCACTGGAAAGTGTGAAGATGGGAAAAAATCTTCACATATTAAATTGGACAGAATAAAATAATTGAAAAGTAGTGTCACATGTCTGTTTTCTTATGTATCTAAAATGAAATTATAATGGCATAAAAAGCTTTTAGTCTTTAGCTATTTGCTTTGAAAGTTAAGAGGTCAAATTTGGTCCATGTAAACCTATTTTGACATATGACATAAAAAAGCTAGACTTGTTCATCTTAGTTGGAGATAAATTGGCAGCAGACAATCAGTCCTCAATTGCATGCATTTGGCTCCAAATTAAAATTGAATGTTTGGTGTACATGTGTTTAGGTTGGAAGAGATCAGGAAGAGACACATTCTTCTATATCCTAGCATTAGCTGAGTACTGAAGTATATTATTCATTTCAGAAGTGACCACAGAAGCAGCAAGTCAACTGGAAATGCAGTTATCTCCATAGCCTCTTATCCCCTAGGCAATGCCTAAGAGATACTTTGTTTTGATATTTCACGAGCATTGGCTCTCATTGCAATGAAGACGAGTCACTTTTTGTCCAGCTGGTACCTCATAAGGTCTCTCCAAAAGCTTTATTAGTGCCTTCCAGTCTGGATGTGCAATATCCATTTTTATTTAATTCTTAAATCTTTCCTGAGCAGAAGCTGTTAGTTGTGCTTGGAGGCGTGGAGGTTCTGCCACGTGGGTCACTTTGTTACCTCCGGAGCCATCCTATTTCTTGGGAAGTTCAAAGGTTCCCCAGTCTTACATCACGCATTTCATAGAAGAGCAGGGACTTGAGGCAAAAAGACAATTTTTTTCTATTGGACAGTGAGATTTTGCTATGGAAAAAACCAATATATATATTAATAAT